AAAGGTAATAACTGTGGAGGATGAACTGGTAAGAGGAAAAGAAGATTCCATTATTAGCTGAAGGCAGGATGGGCTTCCCTGAAGAGGTTTTCAGAGATCGCCTAAAAGTGAGCAGAGTAGGCGATAATCTGATAAATTGGAATAGAAAGTTCCAGAGGATGGGGGAAGCTCTGGAGAAGTCCTGGAGATGAGCATGGGAGGAGGAGACAAGGGAGATAGAGAGTAGGAGGTCATGTGAGGAGCAGAGAGTACAGTTAGGGTGATATTTGGAGACAAGTTTGGTGTATGTATACCCAACATTTCATATTCCTGATATGCGCCTGCTGTACCATGTACTTGTATGAAAAAGTATCCTGTCCTCTTTGTATTGCTTCCTTTGTGTGAAATCCCTGGTGTTCCTGACAGTCCCTCTGTTTCCTAATGAAACTGACCACACTAAGCAGGAGAGCACAGCGTGGTCAGTTCTCTTGCCATGCTGGGAACTCAGCCTGCTCTCCTCTGACTTGTGCTGACAAACCCTGCTGCACAGCCTTTCACTGGTAAGATCAGTGTGCTGCTGTTTTTCCTTCCCCAGCTCTTATGCAGCTGAGAACGAACGGTATGCGATCACTTATAAAAAAAGTGGAAAAAAAGTATCTATAATGTTTTTTATCTCTATAAAACAAATGTTTTGCCTTTAATTTCTATTTTAAACTGTAAGTTGATTGCAAGTTGTATAGCTTACAATCACTTTACGTTCAAAAACACCCTACTAAGTGTTCCCCTCCATCCCTAAACACTTACATTGATTCTGCACTTTCCTGGCTGCAGCACCACTCCTCACTTTCTGCTGCTTTCAGGGTCAGTTCACACCAAAGCACTGTGCGGGAAACCTGTGCTTTGTGCACATTTTCCACACCGTGTTCAAAACCCACTGCACTTGCGATCTGCAGCAGGTGTCAGTGTTAACTTCACAACACCCTAAACACAGGTTGCAAATGCAGTGGGTTTGCCTACCATGTGATCCGTTTGCTGTGCATTTTATAAAATAATGGCACTACTTTTGGTGCGGTCCAGCCCAAATTCAACTTATTCAAATTAATTATCTGAATCTCACTGTGCCTGAATCACATGTGAATCCCACAGGAATGTGTATTCCTCGCAGGAAACACTAAGGGAAGCGAGAGCCACAGGCTCCTGCTGCTGTCAGTCAAACCCCTGTAAGGAAGCAGTGCGGGTGTGACCTTCCAGTGCTGTGTGTGTGTCTATGACTGCACAGGTCCATGCATAGCACATGGCTTGCTAAGGAGGCACCCATGGCAGGGAGAAGAAGGGAGAAGGGAAGAGAAGTGAATATAACCTGTTTTTTATTTTACTTTCAATATTTGTATTGATAGGTTAGCAATTATGAAAAAATACTAACAGATCCACATAAGATCAGGTCTTAAGTAACAGTTGACACCGTTTTTTATTTTTAATTTAACAAAATTAGCCTTTAGTATCACTTAAGTTGAAAGTAAATGGTGTTTTTGAGCATTCAAATCCTGTAAAAATATTTAATGGTTATTAACATAAAAATGTAATTTCCCACAATAAGCCTATGGAGTGAAGGTAGAGGGGAATTTTTTTTTTCTTTGCTATACCCTGAACTCTTAAAAGCGCATGGACTCCTTGAAAGCTGCATGAGTTCTGGACCATTCCTCAAATATTTTAAAAGCAAATACTGTAGATGGATGTTCTGCTGTAGGCTTTTCAATCTACTGTGAGTCTGTCATCAGCCTTTGGAAGGGTGTCCATAGTAAGCCCATGTCGTGTTCTTTTTCTGTTAAATTGATGCCATGCCACTGCTATGTCATAGTGCATACCTTTGTCAAATGCAAAGCTTGATTCCATAGCTGTGCTTGCTGCGTGTAAATCAGAAACAGTTCTCAATTTTCATTATTTTTTAAAATAATTTATTTTTAATTTTTAGGTTTTATTTTCTGGCCCTCTCCCATGCTAAGCTGCTAAGCTATTTCACTAGATCTTTGTGCATTTACTTGCACATGCTTCAGAATTTCCCAATTCTTCTTTCAGGCCTTTGTCCATATCATAAAATATGTTCTCACTTTTATCTCTGTACCAGGTGTGACTAGAATACATTCCATGAGACCATGTAAATAATGAGCAATGTTTATTTCTTAGAAATATGCAGACAATACATTTGTTCCCAATGGACACAATATTCAGTGGCATTATCAGAAGGGGTTCACTATCTCCAGTGGATTGGTGAGGTTTGCAGATATGGTCTTCTGTGAGACAACTGTCAATGGAGAAACATACAGAACCCACGAATTTATTATTGTAGTTCAAGGTAAGAATAATTCATCAGCTCTTCAGTAATAACCATACACAGCCTATCATTTACTCTCCAATATGTTTCGACTGGTGATTATTAATTATTTTGTTTTTTTTTTTTTTGTTGTCAGATTATATGATCTGTAGACTGTTGATGAATCCGTATCCTCAGATCAAACTGGCTGTGGGGGACAGGTTGGAAATAACCTGCAAAGCTCACACTCCATTAAATGTCAGAGTCCAATTCAGCTGGGACTATCCTTCAATGATGGTAATTATAGTTGTCCCTCAGTGTATAGTTTGTTTTTTTCACACCCTAAAATAGAACTAAATGCAAAACTGTTTTCTCATTTTGGATAGAGTAAGGATTATAACCCCTGTAATTTCTTTTACCACCTGTGTACTATTGGGGATATTTGCCTTTACTTCCTGTTGCCTAGCTAAAACAGGAAGTGACAAGAAATTCCTCCATAGCGAGAGGTTCCCTTTTTTTTACAAGGGCCGCCAGAACTAGTCTCCCCATTAGAAGATTTACCCTATATTATTGTTCCGGGAGCAACCCAAAATTTGGGATTTTTGTTTTCACTTTCAGTGGTAAAAAAAACAGAGAACATGAATTGCCCCAATGGGCACACAGCAATAAAAACCTGACAGGTGTTCCAGTCCCTCTCCACTTTATCCAAAACTAAAGAAAAATGATTTGCCTGTAGGTATACATTTCTGTAAAAAAAATGAAAATGTTGGCATGAACATGCTCCATCATAGTCTGAATGTTCCCAATATCCATCATTGTCTGTGTGTGTATGTGACCAGTTCCAGAAGTCATGGCACTGTATTGAACATTAGCATGGATTCACACTTGAGTGCTTTCATGTGATTTTGGAGTGTGTTTTACTTATTTTTTTATATATTTGCCTGTTTCGCTAATTATAATTTAGTTAATGTTACCTGTTTTGTTAGGCTGACCATAGATGGATCTTTATATTTTTCCTTCAGCCAGCAGGCTAAATGGGAAAAAAATAAAACAGGTTTTTCCATCCACATAATTGAGTTGGATAGAGAAATCCTCCCCAATGAGATATTGTGGGGTAAGTTTATTAAAACTGGAGTACTCAGAATCTGGTGTAGCTGTGCATGGTAGCCTAGAAGCTTCTAACTTCATCTTGTTCAATTATGCTTTGGAAATAAGCCTGGAAGTTGATTTCTTTCAATACAGAGTTGCACCAGATTTTGCACGTGCCAGTTTTAGTAAATAACCCCCTGTGTTCTGACAGTGATCAGTGGTTGTAGCCCATTTGCTGCAGCCATTCATTGAAAAAATGTTTCCAACAAGCCTGTTCAACAGAAGTCAGTCATTAGTCCCTGATGAACTGGCCCAATTATAATTCAACTGTATCCAACTTTAGCTTCAAATCCATAGTGGAATTATTGTTTGCCCTCGGTTCACACAATGTTAGCCGGATGTGGGTGTGGAATTGCATCTGTTCCCTCACCCGCAAACACCCAGAGCTGAATCGCGCTCCCCTTGCAAGACTCGCGGGGCTGTCATTCATTCTGAATGGCACTCTCATGCATCTCAGCATGATTGCGGGTGTGGGAACTACAGGGCAACCTCGTGGTCAAAAAGACCATGCAGTTTTCCTGTCGCCACGTTTTCAAAAAGGTGCATGCACCTTCTTTGTGCGGAAACGTGGACACAGCCACCCATTCAAATGAATAGATGGCTGTGTCCCAGCAAACGCGGGACACACGGTCTGCAATATTGTGAACCGAGGGTAAGAGTTTTACCAGTACAATAGTCCAGGGGACATGCCCTAACATTGGAGCCTTTACCATCATCTGCTAACTTTTGTTTTGACACCTTGTAAGACAAAGGGGCATAGCTGGAGAAAGGAGGGCTGATCTTAAATTACAGGTAGTGTTCTATATGACAGTACTTATTTTCTCTTTGTAATAGAACAAAAGTACGGTTGTACTTCTTTTTGTTGGAACATGACTGAAGTGAAGAGTATGATGTTTTTGTGATTTAGAATAATGGAGTTGTTCAAGGGAAGCTAAATCATGCACCAAGTGAAATGGAGCAGTTAAGTACACTAACCATAGAAGAGGTAACTTTGAGCGATGGAGGGAACTACAGCTGCACAGCAGATTCAAGTAAAATGAATAAAACTAACAGCACCACAGTCATCGTCTATGGTGAGTACCTTATCATGTCACTTCTCCTCAGAGCCACAGTCATGGCTATTGCCTGGGTTGGATTTATGTAAGGACAGCTGTGCCACTGGGGCATGGCTTGGGGCATGTTTCCTTGGGAAGCTCCATCTGGCTCATAGGCCTGTTTCACACAGGATTCAACTTGTGTAAGAGCAGTGTGAACAGCAAGCTTTGACAAAGCATTTGCAGAGCTTTCAGCAAGCTTTGTTGAAGCCTTTAAAAGTACCATTCAGCTCTAGTTTGTAAATGTTGAACACAGATCCCAATGAGAGTGCTGATTGCCACTTTAACCACCTCCCGCCCGCCATATAGTCCAATGACGGGCACAAGGTGGTTCTCTCGTTCTGGGAGGACGTCATATGACATTCTCCCATGCTCACCCGCGCATGCGCGGCTCAGGGAGCGCGCATCCCGGCGATCGGAGATGCACTGTGTCCCTCGGACACAGTGGATCACCGATCCACGGAAAGAGCCGAAGATGTTGGCTCGGTCATGTGATCAGCTGTGTCCAATCACAGCTGATCACATGTAAATAGGGAAATGCCGGTTATCTGCTTTTCTCTCCCTCACGAGCTGTCATGCTGACAGCTCGAGAGGAGAGGAGAGCCAGTAATCGGCATTCCACGGAGGGGACCTCTACACTGATCATCAGTGTAGCCCCAACAGTGCCACCTGTCAGTGTCCATCAGTGCCAGCTGTCAGTGCTCATCAGTGCCACGTGCCAGTGCCCATCAGTGCCAAATCAAGGCCACATATCAGTGCCTAACAGTGCACATCAATGCCACATATCAGTGCCCATCTGAGCTGCCTTTCAGTGTCACCCATCAGTGCCAGTCAGTGCCACCTATCAGTGTTGCCAATCAGTGCCACCTATCAGTGCCAGTCAGAGCAGGCCTATCAGTGTGCATCAGTGCAGCCTATCAGTGCCCGTCAGTGCCGCCTATCAGTGCCAGTCAGTGCCGCCTATCAGTTCCATATATCAGTGCCATATATCAGTGCTGCCTTTCAGTGCCCATCAGTGATGCCTGTCAATGCCCATCAGTACCACCTATCAGTGTCCATCAGTGCAGTCTATCAGTGCCCATCACTGCAGCCCCCATTAGCGCACATCAGTGAAGGAGAAAAATCACTTATTTACAAAATTCTATAACAAAAACTAAGAAAACATTTTTTTTTTTTTTTCAATTTTCAGTGGTTTTTGGTTTGTTTAAGAAAAAGTAAAAAACCCAGAGTTGATTAAATACCACCAAAATAAAGCTCTATCTGTCTAAAAAAAAAAAGATAAAAATTTCATATACAGTATAGTATAGGGTATAGGGTACAGTGTTGCATGACCGCACAATTGTCATTCAAAGTGTGACAGCACTGAAAGCTGGAAATTGGCCTGGGCAGGAAGGGGGTATAAGTGCCCTGTAGGCTTGTGGTTAAGCAAGCTGCTAGCAGGGTCATCTGATTGAGATCTGTAGTTGTTATAACATTGGTAGTTCATTTTGTAAACTGATTAATTTTTATAGGTCTGTTTATTTGGGAGCCATGGACTAAATATAGACTGTAGATTTAAATTTATGCGGATGTATATTTATTTATTTTTGACATGTGGACACCTAGTGCACATTTGTAATGGCATCCCAACACACGTACAGCTACAGCATACCATTAGACATGGAGGAGCCTTGTGGTATACTGTAGGAGTCATTTTTTTTAGTCCCTTCCAAAATGAATAAGGCTGTCTTAATACACTGCACTTGTGAAAAATTGGGCATTTACTTGTTTTCATTGTGGACATGCCAACATTTATATTTATTTATTGTCACTGAGCATTTGTTCATTTAGCTTAAAGGCTCATAAGCACTGGTGCTCACAGTGCAGCATCCATTCACTTGTATTGCAACAACACATAATGTATGCGCAATGGACTGCGTGTTAATTTCTTTCTGTTCTTTGTGCTCAAAACAATTGAATCTAACCAGCATCACGCTGCAGTGCATACAGTAGAAATCACACACCCTTGACTTGGCGCACTGGATAAATGGATGCATTCTTTGGTCCATGGATGCGCACTGAAAGCCACTAAATGCATGTCAACATGACAAAAACATGAATGTCAGCAAATAAAAAAAAAAAAAGGCCCTTAGGCTACCCTTATCACAGACCTCTTCATACTACAGCCATGCAGGCTTTTTGGATGTCACACTTACGAGAGGTTCCTAGACTTTTTATACATTAATGTCATTCAAATGTATGCTGAATGCTATATCTACTTGCACAAATAACTGTGTAGCCAGAAAGTTTTTGGGCCTTCTGTGCGTCTTGGCTCCATAACAGTCGTATTGTGTGGTATGGCTATAGTTAATCCATTTACGGAAATTCAAACAGAAGATCTCTACTTCCCCAGCCTAGCTGGGGCTCTACCAACATTATGGTGTTGCTGGATTTCCCATAGAAATATAAAAAGGAAGTGCTCCGACGAGAGAAACCAGGAAACTCAGCCCACAGCAGAGCCGTGGCAGTCACATTAGGGTTGGGTGTAGGCAGAGAGCTACTATCCAGGGTTACAGACAACAATAAAGACCTAGCAGGAGATTGCACCCTACATTGTTTCAGCCAAAACATAAAACATTGGATAGCTGGATGTGTTTTCCACATCCACTTGCTATATGCCTAATAATAAAAAAAGCAATATAGAAAAAGATCACTATGTTCCTCAGCTCAGGTTTTAACTTGTTTTACATTTTGTTAATTGCTTTATGATTTGATCAGGTGACTTCAGTAACTCTTTCACACTATAGTATAAAGTGCAGCATGGTTGATATTCTAAACACAAATGTCTTTTTCAGAAAAACCATTTATATTAATTGATGACATGGAGAAGGTGTTCATAGTGAAAGCTGGAGATCGTGTCAAGATACCAGTGAAATTTACAGCATTTCCTGATCCTGAGGCTAAATGGTAAGAGCTCTTTCCTAAAGTCCTTCTGAAAGGCATTCATATGTTTCATTCAAGAAGTAATATTGAGTAATACTGCGGTGCCTTCCATACAGGTTCAAAAATGGTAAAATCTTTCACACTCACAAAACACCATACCTCCTATCTATCAATGAATGCAGTGAAAGGGACTCTGGCAATTACACAGTTGTTCTTAATAACCCACGTACAAAGGATTATGAGAAGTACAGTTTCCAGCTCATTGTACACGGTGAGTTAATTCTTCCCAAAGAAAACAAGGAAAAAATGTTTTAATGTACAAAAAAAAGTGAAAAGAGAGGATAAAACCCACTTTATCTTTCTCTCTAGTCCCTCCACACATATGTGAAAAGGCAGTATCTACTTCTGTGGAATCAATCAAGTTTGGCAAACGTTCTACCTTAACTTGTACTGCATCTGGGATTCCAGCACCAGTTAACATCCAGTGGACATGGCAACTGCTGGAGGAATGCATCCCATCATCTCAGTAAGTGGACTGCTCAGGTCTTGTAAATATGACATTCCCCTTTAAAACTCATCCAAAACCCAACTTCAGCCAGTTATTTTTTGTTTTTGAGTGGGTACGATTCAGATCTTTTGTTAAGTTTGTGCTGTTTATGTTACTTGAATGACTTACCCTCACTTCCTATCTCTTTCACAAAGTATCACAAGAACAGAAAAAAATGTGATATCTCTATGGAGGACATGAACATGATAAAAAGCCTCTTTATTTAGTAAAGTGCTGAAGGGTTAAAATAATATGTCTAGTTTTTATGTCTTCTTGTGCCAGTGACACTCACACTTCTTATTTCTTGTCCCAATGTCACAGGGGCAGTGATTGAGGGCAAATCTCTGCAATTAGGACACAACCAGCATGAACATGACACAAAGTTCAGACTCTATGGCTGGCCATAGATGGTGGAAATTTCTTTCCTGCAACTACAGGTTGCAAAACCACTCGAATCCCTCCTCAACACAGTCAGTGTTGACAGGTGAATCCCTCCCACCAAGCTATTGTGTTCTCCTGGCAGGGACAGTAATTATTAGACAGTGACAGGGGCGGACTGACAACTCATCGGGCCCCTGGGCAATAGGTGATCATGGGGCCCCTGTGTCCTTGCTCAAACTCAAAAAAGCCTATGGAAAAGGTACCAGGGTTATCTCATGGGGCCCCCTACTGACCCCGGGTCCTCGGGCAGTGCCCGAGTTTCCAAATGGTCAGTCCGCCCCTGGACAGTGATTATTGCTAGCAGCTAAAACAGCCGCTGATGATAATTGCATGTAAAATCCACCAGGCTGGTGGTACCCAAGTTGATCAATAGATGATAGTTGATCATACATGGTTCGAATCTCAGCCGTATCCTCCTGAACTGGCCGAGGTTCTAACCAGCTGTGGCCTGGCTTAAACCCTTTCTGTGGGAAATTAAAAATACAATTTTCACTGGAATTCTGTTCACCTTTAGGTTATAAAAATCTGAAGGAACCCATAAACACGAAATGGCATTTAAGTGTACAGGCAGTCAGTCTGTTCTTTTGGTGTTAACCTCATCAAACTTCTTTGGTGGTACTCTCACACAACAGCCATTGCCTATTTTAGTCAACTGTGGCCGTTTCAGATAGAGGTCATCTCATGTCTGTGGATACCATTAAAGTGACTGATCATGCTTCTAGTACATTTAAAGTTTACTACCTAGAGTGTCATACCTTTGCCTGTTCAGAGTGGCCCAGCATTCAACCATAGCAAAGTTCAATGAAGATACCTCTAGATGCCTTTCTATATGCTGTTAGATTTCTGATAGTCTCTTTAAGCTAGACTTGAATGGTTTGTTTAAGGTATTCTATGATAGATCTATGTGCAAATAGACAAATATTTCAGTAAAAGCTTTTTATTGTAATCCTCCAAAACAGATAAATAGACCCTGTGCATAAACCCCTATCTAAAAACTATAGGCAAGCACAGCAGGGCCCTAATGTCAAGAATGAAACTTGTTTTTGTCTAACATAAAGGTCAGTTACCGAAAAATGCACTTCTAGGTGCTAAAAAATATTTATCATACTGTATGTATATATAACACATCAACCCATAAACAATGATGCCTATAGCACAATTAAATGTTGAAGAAAAAGTGACAAGTTCCTTTAGTTCCAGAATGTCAAAGTTGCAGAAAGTTAGTATACCACCTTGTATAATGGTGTTATTATTATTAGTAGTATACAGGATTTATATAGTGCCAACAGTTTGCTCAGCGCTTTACAATATAACGAGAGACAATACAACAACAATACAGTTCAATACAAGAGGGTTAGGGGCCCTGCTCCTTGGAGCTTACAGTCTAAAAGGGAGGGGCTAGTGGTACAAAGGTAATAACTGTGGGGGATGGACTGGTAGGAGGAATAGAAGATTTGCCTAAAAGTGAGCAGAGTAGGCGATAGTCTGATAAATTGGGGTAGAGAGTCCCAGAGGATGGGGGACGCTCTGGAGAAGTCCTGGAGATGAGCATGGGAGGAGGAGACAAGGGAGCTAGAGAGCAGGAGGTTATGCGAGGAGCGGAGAGTACGGTTTGAGTGATATTTGGAGACAAGATCGGTGATGTAATTTGGGATAGAGTTATAAATGGCTTTATATGTTATTGTTAATGTTTTGAAATGTATCCCTTGGACAATGGGAAGCCAGTGGAGGGATTGGCAGAGAGGGATTGCAGATACGAAACAGTTTAAATGGGTGTTAAATAGGACCATACACAATCTCACTTCAACAATTCAACACAAGTTGGTGATGATGTATAATAGATTCTTCAGTTCACAGCAACTGTACTATATGCTTGCAACAGTGTCATTGAGGTGTGAAAATGTCAGGGTCATCAAAGAGGGAAATTGAGCCTGCATCCATCAAGCACTGTATGCACATGGATAACCAGCTGAACATCAAATAGCAATGAACCCATGGAAGTCCCACCAAGTAGGCTTGAATGACTGTTCTCCTGTATGGCTGCATAGGCATAGATACATTGCCCATTATTTGATAGGGGTTTATGCACAGAGTCT